ACAGATGCTCTGCCTGCTGTGCTATTGCTCCGGCCCCTCTCTGAAAGCAATCTAATTCCTTCACTCCCCTCTCCAATTTGACTTCAATATTTTTAGTTGTTGTTTTTGTGTGTGGGTGTGGAGGGAGCCACCAGCAGCTCTTGGGGGCTATTATCTCTATTTCTGGAGCTTAAGATTTTGTTTTAAGGGTTTTACAGATTTACTATATTTTAGTTGTGGATTTATTTTTACCTTGATTAGGATTTGTTGGGATTGACTTTATATATTGGTGTTTGTCATGATTTCTAGAAATGTTTGACTAGTAATTCTTCAAGATTTTTTTTTCTCTTTGAGTCACACCCGATGATGTTCAGGGGTTACTCCTGGCTCTGCACTCAGGAATCACTCCTGGTGTTGCTTGGAAGACCATATGGGATGCAGGGGATCAAACCCGGGTCAGCTACATGCAAGGCAAATGCCCTCCCTGCTGTACTATCACTCCGGCCCCCTTCAAGATTGTTACTCGGGACCTTCTCCCTTTCCCTCCATGTCACTTTTATATTTTCACCCATTTGTGTCTTTGTATGAGTCTGGAATACTTTCTTCCAATACTACCATATTACCATACTCTACCATATTGCCATATGCCCTCACTTCCATATCACTACTTTTCTTGAGTTGAGCAATATCTTATAATTTACTTTTGATTTCTGGAAATCACTAGCAGTTTAAAAAATTCCATTTCCAGAAATATACTATACATGCTTATTTTATGGACTGATAATTTCACTCTAAGGGAGGGAATAGTCTGATTCTGATGACTTCTATTGGCCTCTGTGTATGGGCCAACTTGTGTGTTTCCTTGGGTGAATAGAAATACAGTGAGCTGTTTGTCTTTTTTTATTATTATTATTGTTTTTGTCTTTCTACCATACCCAGCTGTGCTAAGGGCTTACTTCTGGCTCTATACTTGGGGATCACTCCTGGCAGAGTTTGGGTGAACTTATGGGTTGATGGGGATAGGACCCAGGTTAATTGCTTGCAAAGCAAGCACCTTCCCTGTGTACAGTTTATCTTCCACGTGTTCAGGTTCTTGACAACTTCACATCTGGGTTCTGTAAGACTTTTAATGAAGGGAACATCTCCAGAGAAGATTGTTTGCTTCCCTCATGTGATACACCATGCCAATTTAGGACCAAGTTATATTTGTAGAATTGGATTGCCAAACTAAGTGAGGGTCTTTTGATTACAGATTTTTAGGGCATATTCCCCACCCCACCCCTGGTCTGCTTAGAGACAATGTTTTGGGGTGGTTGATCACATCTGACTATGCTCAGGGCTTACTCCTGGCCCTGTGTGCAGGGATCACTCCTGGGTGGGGCTTGGAGGCCCATATTGGGTGATGGGAATTGAATGTGGGTCAGCCGTATGCAAGGCAAGCACCTTCCCTGCTATACTATCCAGCCCTAAGTTAATTTTTAAGACAGATTTCCTTGTATTTTATTTTTAATTCACCATGGTACTAAGGATTGCCCTTTTGGATGCTTGGTTTACAGGGATATATATTGTCCCGTCTTGTGAAGGTCATCTGAGGTGGTGAAGACTTGCTTAGGTTCTGAGGGCAGTGAGCAACTGCAGGGAAAAAGCCGACTTCAGAGCTTGTCCTACCTCTCCGCTCTCCACACTCACTTAATTTTCGTCTTGAATATCCTTTTCAGCTCATGGATGCATTTAAGATGTTTATGATTTTGATCCAGCACTTCTGCCTTTCTACGAAGAGGGCTGATTCAGGATAATCTAACCCTACCTATTACCGGAGAGGTTCTTGATCCAGCTGCTAGAATGAGTGGTTTATGATAAAGCTGACCTTTGGGTTTATAATTTAGGGGATCAGTCCATAAGTGTGTGTGTGTGTGTGTGTGTGTGTGTGAGACACAGAGTTCAGTTTGCTATCACCTAGCATAAGGATTCTCAAGTGAATTGTGTATTTCTTTTAGCACTCTTGTTTTAAAGTTTATTGACTGGCTTTCCAAAAGGAGTAAATGAAAAACGTCTGATGTTGCCTCTGGCCCTGCTGACACCTGCATTGCACTCTGAGATTTTTCTCTTTGGGGTCCTCTCTCCCCCTGATACCCCAGCCCTGGAGATTTTTCCGTCCTTCCCAGCAATCCATTAGCAGCAGCGATGGCATTCGAGTTTGGGGGAAGCTGTCTCCTGGGTACACTCAGTCAACTCTTCTGATCTACAACTGGATGCCACAGCTGCACTCCCCAGCCCCACAGTGATATCCTGCAGGGAGACGCTACTGTCCTGCATCAGTCATCTGCCAGACAGAGCAGTGAAGAAAAAGGTCACCACTTGCTGGGAGCTTTCTAGAATACTTTAGTGTCAGTAGCCAAGTCCATGTTGTTCCCACCACCATTCCTTTATAAAAATGGTCTTGGCTATTTTTCACACAATTAACTCTCCCATATAAATCTCACACTCAGCATGTCAAGTTTTGTTTTGTTTCATTTGGGCCACACCAGCTACACTCAAGGCTTACTCCTGGCTCTGTGTTCAGCAATCTCCTGGCGGGGCACAGGGGACCACATGGGGTGCTAGGATTGAACTCAGGTCAGTTGCCTTAACTCCTGTATTATCTCTTTGGCTATCAACATGTCACGTTTTGGAAAATATTAATTGAAGTCTGATTTAGATGATGATTCGTAGATTTGGGAAGAACTGAACTGACATAATCACGTTCATCACCAAAATGGCAATTTTAACTCTTAACTCAAGTCTTCTCTTACCCAATCAAGTTTTTACCTGTAAGCAACGTTTGCTCTGTGTGTGTGTGTGTGTGTGTGCGCGCGCGCGCGCACATGCCTGTGTGATGTATTCTGAGGCTCAAGGCTTATGCTGCTAAATCTTTTTGTTGTCAATGTTATTTCTGCTATAATCTCTATTAAGTGGTAGCTGGTGAATAGAGACCACTAAGTATAGGCTGATTTTGTATCGTGCTGGTCAGGCTGATCTTCCTCGGGTGGCATCCTGCTGTCACTCCCCGTTCACAGGAAAGTCTATGGAGTAAATGAAAGAGTCCATTCTAGACTCTCTGATCCCTGCTTGTGTTCAGTGCTGGTCTTCGTCACTTCTAGGCTTTGCCTGGGCAGCTGTTGCTCTCCGGAACCCACCAGTGGGTAAAGTGAGGGTTGAAATGCACGGAGTCAGTGGGGCAGGCTGTGGATCCCCAGGGCTGGGGAGCCTGACTCTGATGGTCGGGACATGACTCTGTCCCTCTGGAGGCCTGACCTTCTCTATCCCATCACCTGGATTAGTGGGTCACGGGAGAACCAGACAAGGCCAATTTGGATCCGAGGATCTAGTGATCCATGTTGCTTCAAAACCTTGGGGTCTGGGGGAGCTAAGAATTAGCCCAGGTCATGACTTGTGGTTGCACTGGCTGGGCCCCTGACACTTTAGGCAAAGCTGCAAGTGTGGTGGTGACTTAGCTCTAGAACCTTCCAGGCCATCATATGGTTCACTTCCCCTACCACCACTCCTTAACTTCCACCCCTTCCACCTCACACTTACCTTGGCAATAAGCAGAGGAAGGCACATCATCTTTCCCAGGGCCACCTTGGGGTGCCACCTGGGTCAGCCTCACTCGACCCAGCCACACATGGAGCCAGTGAGAGAGACACAGAAAACTCCACGTCCAAAGATTTTTTTTATTAGTAGTCGGGACTGGCTCACAGACAGTGCTGAAAAGAGAGTTGCATTCCCCACTCTGCTGTAGTTGGGGTGGGGCACCCCACTTTCCCACCGGCCCACACTGACTCTCTCCAGGGTCACCCTAAGGCATTTCACACTTCAGTGTTCTTTTTTTTTCTTTTTTTCTCTTTTTTTAAAAAAACAAAACCAGTTTTAGAGTAGAAAGAAAAACCCTGTGAGTTTTCAGGACCAGAGTGAAGCAGGAAGGGCCGGAGTGGGAGTTTTGAGGGGCTGGGACAGTGGCCGCGATGGCCCAGCCCCCCCCACTGGTGGCAGAAGCCACTGGAAGAGGGTCAAAAGCAGAGGGCACAGCTGACAAGGAGGGCCAAACTCAGACAGGCACGCCCTGTCTTCATAATTTTTTTCCACTCCACATACCATAGAAATTTAAGTAAAATAGCTATTTTATATATATTTATATGTCATATATATAAACCAGGCAAATAAGAATTCAGAGGGTGTGGCGTGGAGTGTCCCAGAGCCGCCGAGGCCCGGATATGGACACAGCCTCTGCGCCCGCCCTGCCGGAGTCCAGAATTTGTTCATTATTGCTGATTTGGGGCCTGGTTCTGGAGAAGGGAGCACCTGCAGGTTCGGTGCCCAAACCCTGTTCTCTTTGGGTCTGGGAAACAAGGCCTGCCCGGCGAAATCAAGGCAAGGCGGGGGCCCCTCAGCTGTCCCCCACTTGCCAAGAGTGGGTGGGGCAATAGTGTCAGAGACGACTGGATTGTGCTCTCCTGGGCCAGCGCAGGCCCTCCTGTCCCCTTCTGAGGGGTCCTGGGGTCCTCGGGAGTGGGCAGATATAAAGAGGGGCGGGGCTTGCTACCTCAAACTGGAGAACGCGCCCAGCTCGCCCAGCTTGGGGTCTGGCTGGATTCCTCGTGTCTTAAAAAGAAAGGGCTCTTGCCAGGACACACGTGGCAAGAAAGCACACTTAGAAAGTTGTCGGCTAAGTGCTGTACTAAAAATATTTACTAAACGTCTTGGCTGGAAAGAAACGGGGATTATTTTCCTAAAAAAGTCAAACGTGGCTCCCAAGGAGGGGCTGCTTTTCCCCTGGGACGGGGCAGGGTGGGCCCAGGCCTGCAGGCCTGAATTCTGGGAGCTGGGCTCCAGAGGAGGCCCAAGTCCGAACATGACGGGGTTCAGAGGCTGGAGCAAACCCAGCTCAGCTCATCCTCCTTCCCAGGTGGGAACCCCTCAAAAGTCTTTAAAAAAATAACAACAATAATAACGAAAGGGGGAAAAGTTGTGTGTGTGAGTGAGGGGGGGGCGGGGATGGTGTGGAGTACTCAAGTGGTGCACTCAAGAAAAGGTGGACCAGGCTGTGCAGGCACCTCTATTTGCAGGAAGGGGTGGTGCTCAGAAGATGTTGGGGCACATGTGCCAGTCCTGCCTCTCCTTGGCCTCCCAGTAGCCGCCTTTGTACATGAAGGCCATCTCTCCGGTCAGCGGGTCCAGCTTCCTCTCAAACCACAGCGGCACGTACAGATCCGTCTCCTTTTCTGCTGGACAGGCATAGCGGGGCGGGTGGGCGGGCTCCCCAAATTCCCCACCGGGGCCCAGGCAACCCACCCCTACCCCACCTGCAGCGCCCCCTCGGGCACCCTCAGGGTCACACCTGCATGCACAAACACACCTACACACACACACACACCTACACACACACACACACACCTACACACACACACACCTACACACACACACACACACCACTGGCCTCACCTTCCTCGGAGACAGACACACACACACACCTACACACACACACACAACCCCACTGGCCTCACCTTCCTCGGAGACAGACAGACAGACACACACACACACACACACACCCCAGCTGGCCTTACCTTCCTCGGAGACAGACAGACAGACACACACACACCCCACTGGCCTCACCTTCCTCGGAGACAGACACACACACACACACACACACACACACACACACACACACACCCCGGCTGGCCTTACCTTCCTCGGAGCCGCAGCCCTGGGAGCAGGACTCGAGCCGCCGACGCCGCGAGATGCGCTGCTTCTCCTCGAGCCGCTGCTTCTCCACGTTGGCCTGGTCCCAGTGCCCCCTCTCCATCAGCCGCTGGTCCGGCCGCAGGCGGCTGTCGGTGGGCGCCACGCCCTCCTCCTGCTCATTGAGCGTCAGGGCCAGCTCCGAGAAGTAGTACATATTCTCCGCGTTCTCCCTGCAGTGGCCACGGGTGGTGTGAGCAGCGCGCCCCCTCCGTGCCCACCCCAGACATCTGCCACGCCGGCCTTCGCCTGGCTCACTTGGGCCACACACCTGCCATCCTCAGTTTCCCTACTCTCTCCGCCACTGGACAGTGGGCCCTTCTGACTGGGTTTTCACAAATGATCAGCTTAATGTTGCTTCCTAACACTCTCTCATTTTTATGTTTCTTGGGGGCTTTTGGTGCACACTAGGGCTTACTCCTGGCTCTGCACTCTGGGATTACTCCTGGCGGAGTAGAGGGTTGCTGAGGATTGAACCTGGGTCAGCTGCATGCAAAACAAATGCCTTAATCACTTAACTATCTGGTCCATCATAATGGTCTTAGCTGCAGCATTCGCTTGGGCAGCAGCGGTATGGGTGACAACTGTTTTTCCCGTTTTCACAATTTTGGCTGTTTTCCTTCCTAGATGATGCCGGAAATTGGTTGACTAAGGACTTTCTGCTTTATTAATTTTGTTCTCTTTCTTGGACTTTACTTTGCCTTTTTTCTAACTTATTGATATAGACCTTTACTGTTTTCCAGCCTTCCTTTAGTCCTTTTTATTTTGTTTTGGGGCCACACTCCTGTTTCAGAGCTAGAAATTACTTCTGGTGGGCTCAGGAAACCCTAATGGATGCTGGGGATTGACCCCAAGTCATCTGTGTGCAAGGCAAGCGCACTATTGCTATACTATTGCTCTGTCCTCTTTTAGAACATTTTTAAGACTATGTAATATTTACTTCAAGTACTGGAGTAGTTGAGTTCTATTTTTCCTGAGTTCTATTTTCATTATTATGCAGTTAGATTTTCTTTTATCTTTTTGGCCGGCTGACCCGGGTTCAATTCCTCTGCCCCTCTTAGAGAGCCCGGCAAGCTACCGAGAGTATCCAGCCCGCATGGCAAAGCCTGGCAAGCTACCCATGACGTATTCATATGCCAAACACAGTAACAACAAGTCTCACAATGGAGACGTTACTGGGCCCACTTGAGCAAATCGATGAACAATGGGAGCACAGTGCTACAGTGCTTTTTGGCCTATGGATTCATTACAAGGGAATTTCTTTTTATTTTGGGACCAAACCTGCCAATGCTCAAGGGTTACTCCTTGCTCTGCACTCAGGAATCATTCCTGGCAGTGTGCAGGTCACCATGTGGGATGCTGGTCATTGAGCCCAGGTGGGTTACCTTACCTGCTATACACACCAGGCTCAAGGGTATTATTTCTGAAGCCATCTTCATTTCTACTATAACTGCCTTGAAATCAGACCCTATACTTAGTATAATTTCAGTTCTCAGTCTAAGGTTAGTTTCTGCAAATGCTCCACATGCAACGAAAGTTGTAGTATCCTACAACTGTCCAGTCAAATCTACTGTTATAAAGTTTTCCTCCTGGTTGTCTTCCCCTGTCTGGTTCATTACTTAAAGGTCTTTTAAAATTTCCCATTTGGGGGGATAGTATATATTATAGCAGGTAGGGTGCTTGCCTTGCAAGTGACTCACCTGTGTTTGATCCCTGGCATTACATATAGTTCCCTGAACACAACCAGGAGTGATCTCAGATCACAGAGCAAGGAGTAAGCCCTGAACACAGCTGGGAGGGGCCCAAACACACACACACACTCACACACACTCACACACACACACACACAAATACACTTTCCTACTTTGGTAATAATTCCGTCTATTTCTCCTTATAATTCTATCAACTTTTGCTGTATATTTGTATGCTATGTTATTTGGTGCAGGATCCGTTTACACTTAACTCATCTTCCTGGTACACTGAAACTTAGTCATTATATCCTTCTTTTTTGGTGGGGGGGGGGTGACACCCAGCGATGCACAGGAGTTACTCCTGGTTCATGCACTCAAAAATCTCTCCTGGCAGTGCTTGGGGGACCATATGGGATGCTGGGAATCGAACCTGGGTCTGCCGCGTGCACCCTATCCGCTGTGCTATTGCTCCAACCCCAGTCATTACATCCTTCTTATTCTTCCAGTGCTTTATTTTTTTTAAACTTTCTGTTGCTTTAAAATTTAGTGATATTAGTGCCTCTATGCAACAACTTTGGTCTGGTTTGTATGTCTATATCACTTAATCACTTAACTTCCCGTTAGTCATCGATTTGCTCGAGTGGGCGCCAGTAACGTCTCCATTTGTCCCTGTCGCGTGCTAGTGTAGCCCAATGGCATCTGTTCGCTCTGGGAACATGAAGTGCCTCAAACTAATCGTTCATGATCTTGATGAAGAAGTCTGACCATCTGGTAGGTGGGCGGCCACGCGGTCTTTTGACATCCCGTGGAATCCAGTCAGTAACAGCTCTAGTCCAACGGTCGTCTTTAAATCTCATTACGTGACCAGCCCATCTGATTTTCGACACCTTGGCAAATGAGACAGCGTCCCTGATTCTTGATCGTCGACGGATGTCAGAACTCCGGATTCTTTCTCTCATTTGAGTGAAACGTGATATTCCAAGCATAGCTCTTTCTATTCTTCTTTGGGAGACCTGAATAGCGTTCTCATCCTGTTTGCCTAGGGCCCAGGTCTCTGAGGCATATGTTAATGCAGGAAGAACAGTGGAATCAAAGAGATGTGCCCGGAGCCGGAGGTTCTTCGTCCTCTTAGCTATTTCTTCGACGTTCTTGAAGGCGTTCCAAGCCGCTCTCTTCCTCCTGCGCAGCTCGGGTGCCAGGTCATTTGTCATGTTGACTTCTCGACCTAGGTATACAAAGCTGTTGCATTCGGAGATGGTCGTTCCGTTGAGAGCGAATGGGGCATCAGGAACGAGGCTATTTCTCATAAACATTGTCTTCGTAAGATTCAGCTGTAGTCCTACCTTTCCACACTCACGGTCAAAGTCAGCCAGCATTTGTGCCACTTGGCAGATGTTTGGTGTTATTAAAACAATGTCATCAGCAAAGCAGAGGTGGTGTAGTTGCCGACCATCTATCTTCACTCCCATTCCTTCCCATTCCAGTCATCGCATGATGTTCTCGAGGGTGGCACTGAAGAGTTTCAGTGAAATGGTATCACCCTGCCGAACCCCTCTCTTGACATCAATGATCACTTCTTTGTAGAATAGTGAGATCCTGGTAGTGAATCCGCAATATAGCTCACGGAGGATCCTGATGTATTGGGCTTGAATGCCCTGATTGGCTAGGGCTTCAATGACCGCTTCCGTCTCAACAGAATCAAAGGCCTTCTTTAAATCAATGAACGTTAAACAGAGCGGCATCAGGGGTGGGGGGTGGCAGGGGCCTCATGGTAAGGGGGGCGTTCTGGGCCGTCCTTCACGCCCGACCGAGGTCACCAGCTGCCCCCCACGAGCGGCTCTCCAGCACGGCCACGGCCCCGGAAGCACAAGGACTTAGCACAGAACGCCACCCGCTTGGAGCAGAAAAGCAAATGGACTATGTATTAAACTGCGCCAGCATGCCTGCCCGGAGGGGAAAGGGTGTTGACCCACTCGCCGCTCCTCTCTGGAAAGATGGCGGCCGCACGGGAGCCTTGTGGACAGCAGGTTTGAGCCGGGGGCGGGGGGCAGCGGGGGCCTCATGGGAAGGGGGCATTCTGGGCCATTCTTCACGCCCGACCGAGGTCACCAGCTGCCCCCCACGAGTGGCTCTCCGGCACGGCCACGGCCCCAGAGGCACAAGGACTTAGCACAGAGAACCACCCACTTGGAGCAGAAAAGCAAATGGACTATGTGTTAAACTGCGCCAGCATGCCTGCCCGGAGGGGAAAGGGTGTTGACCCACTCGCCGCTCCTCTCTGGAAAGAAAGATGGCGGCCGCACGGGAGCCTTGTGGATAGCAGGTTTGAGCCGGGGGTGGGGGGCGGCAGGGGCCTCATGGGAAGGGGGGCGTTCTGGGCCATCCTTCACGCCCGACCGAGGTCGCCAGCTGCCCCCCACGAGCGGCTCTCCGGCACGGCCATGGCCCCGGAGGCACAAGGATTTAGCACAGAAAGCCACCTGCTTGGAGCAGAAAAGCAAATGGACTATGTGTTAAACCGCACCAGTATGCCTGCCCGGAGGGGAAAGGGTGTTGACCCACTTGCCCGCTCCTCTCTGGAAAGAAAGATGGCGGCCGCACGGGAGCCTTGTGGACAGCAGGTTTGAGCCGCAGGTGGGGGCGGCAGGGACCTCATGGGAAGGGGGGCGTTCTGGGCCGTCCTTCACGCCCGACCGAGGTCACCAGCTGCCCCCCACGAGCGACTCTCCGGCATGGCCACGACTCCAGAACACAGAAACCAATTTCTTAACTATCTAACTTTTAATAGAAATACTTCCAGGGTTAATAAGTAAAATAGCAGAAATCCAAAACCGCATTTTATTCTTAAACCCAGCTGTAGAAAGCAAATCATTTCACAACGCTGTTTCAGCATATCTGATTGGGGGGAGGGGGTCATAAACTCTAAACAATAATTGTGCATCTTCTATCGAAACAATGTATCTAGTCAAAGTAGATAGAGTATTAACTAGAACTCATCTGCCTCACAGGAATTGGGAGGGGTGGGAGGTGGGGTTCTATTGGAGTTCACGGTTAAAAATAAGTATTGGTAAAGGGAAATGTGTTTGATACTTACATGACTGAGACCTAAACCCAAAAGCTCTGTAACTTTTCCCACAGTGATTCAATAAAGAAATAAATTATTAAAAAAAAATAAACAGAGCGGCATCTTGAACTCCCGAGAAACCTCAATGAGCTTGGTTATCGTGTGGATATGGTGGATGGTGCTGAATCCTTTGCGGAACCCGGCTTGCTCGCATGGTTGTCCTTCATCTAGTGGTCTGCCAATCCTATTTAGGATGACTCAACTTGTAGATGACAGACAATAGGCAGATCGGGCAATAGTTGCCAATGTCATGAATGTCTCCCTTCTTGAACAGTAGTACGGTCCTGCTGGTTTTCCACTGGGACGGAACCTTGCATTCAGACAAGTAGCGAGTGAAGAGCCGAGCCAGTGTATTGAT